AATTCCTTCAATACTTAATACCTGTTCTTCTCCATACACTGTGTAAATTTAATATTTTCCGGCGTTTCGATCTGGGGGGGAGATCAGTATTTCGCGGACTGTAACTGTGGAGGGTGCAACTCAGGTCATAATTGGAGCCGGAGTACGTGGTGGGTATCGTCGACTGTGGTGGATTGTTGGGAGGTAATGAGTCCGACGTGGGAGGCGCGATGGCGTGTACAGTAGTCCAATTACACAAATGAGGTCTCTCATTAGAAAGATTTTGCAACGTGTCCTTACACTTCCACTTCACTACAATGCGCCAAAACCCGTTTTTGGCCTCAAGTGTACGGACCAGTCAACCGTGAGTTTTGCAGACCAGTCACTCCACTTATCCGGTTATTTTACGGAACTAAACTTGAACCTTTCCGAGGCACAGTGCTCAAACATGGTGGTGGCACAAAGAGACCTCGCCGTCCTTCTTGCCTTCGCCAAGACCAGGCGGCAACGGCGCTACGTATCCACAATGATTGCGGCGCAAGTTGTGGAGAGGCCACTCATCCCGGACGTGCGTTTTGACCTGAACGCCATGTCAGATGCCAACGCTCTCCTCGAATTTCGTTTCGATGTTGCCGGTGTTCAGCAGCTGGGTTTCCTTCTTGGACTGCCCGCCGTGGTAATCACGCTGTCCCGCAATCGAGTGCTGCGTGACGAGGCCATGTGCATCTTGTTGTCGCGTATGGCTTTCCCCACTCGTCTCTTTGACATGTCCAGGACGTTTGGTCGCTCCCGCTCAGTGCTGTGTGATGTCTTTTTGCACGTTCTCAACGAAATATATGACTGTTGGGGCCACCTTTTGTACATCAACTACAAGCTCGTTCAACGCAACATTGACCAATACTGTGCTGCGATTCAACGCAAGGGTGCGCCCACAAACAGGGTCTTTGGATTTATTGATGGCACGAAAGTCCAGACCTGCCGCATTTCTGCAATCAACGATGGAAACAACTTGCAAAAGGAGATATACAGTGGTCTAAGCGCGTGCACTGTCTGAATTATCAAGCTGTCACTGTGCCGGAAGGGTTGTGTGCTCACTTCTTTGGGCCCATCGACCATGCTTCGCGAAAGTGGACTACTTGCCTACTTGGCAAATCATCCAGAAGTGTTTTTTGGAAAATGCATCTTTGGTGATCCAGAGTATGGAGTGTCCGACCATATGCTCTCTGGGTTCAAAGGCAATGGTCTGAGTACTTTGCAACGCGACTTCAACAAGTGGATGAGTCGTACACCAGTCTGTTGAGTGGAACTTTAAAGTGATGAAGACCTTGTGGTCACTTATTACATTTAAAGCTCTGTCAAAGACCAGGTTGTCACCAGCAGCAAGAGTTGTTTCGGTTGAAATGCTTCTCACCAATTGCCAGTGTTGCTACTTTGGTGGAAACCAAATTAGTAAGTTCTTCGAGCTTGACCCACCAAGTCTAGAATCATACTTGAACACGTTGGAAGTAGTAATTGTTCAACAAATACAAGATGATTCCATCAAACAAACAACATTAACCAAACTGTTATTGAGATTTACTGAGTGTCGAGAGCAATTTCATCTTTGTTTCATGTTGCACTCGCAACTGTTCATGCTGAAAACGAAGGTGTTCAGCACGTAGTTCTCGCTCACATCGACGCTCCTCGAACTCCCTTTCA